TTTGTAAATCCTTTTGCCTTTTGTCTTCAAAATTGTATTTCCACTTCAGTGCTCTCAGTTTTACTTTTTCATATTTAGTGCATTAAATACATAAACTTTAAAATATTTTTATCACATATTTTGCTGTCAAAGTACATAAAGAAACAAACACATCTGTCCATCTGTCAATCATCTATCCAGTCATCCATTTTTCCAGTTTCTGGAGACAGGAAGGTCCTAAATGTTCAAAATTTCTTTGGGGTAAATATCACAATTACTATTAGTTAATAACTCAGTTAAATAGCACAAATTATGATGCATGCCTGAATTTATATCTTACAGCTTAATCAAATGCTGTGGCCTGCAGCTCCAGGACAGGGCTGGGGAAGCTTGAAAGCTCGAGGAGGCTCCAGGGTAGTTTCCCAAGGCCATGTGAGTGAGGCCCAGGCCTCTCTGGTGAATCTGCAGGGGGCAGGTGGAGCAGAGGTGGAAGGAGCTCGGGCAGTTCGCAGGCCCACCATGCTGGAAGGCGGGCATGCAGAGGCCAAGCCTAAGCCTAAGGAGGAAAGCCCTTTTGGGCTCCACTCAGCGGGGAGTATCTGTAGTCTCCGCAGGAGTGCCGCTCCAGCAAGACTGCAACTGCTACTTTCCAGAGAAGACACCGGTGACTTCCTGGACTTCCACAAGCTTGAGCATTGTGACCGCCACCCGGGTAGGCCGTGACTCTAGGATGCCGGGTGCAGCTGTATTAGGAGCACAGTCCTGCTCTGGACCCTCAATCACTGCCTCTACCCCTCTAGGTGATGAAATTGGAGCACAAGGGGCGCTCACTCTAAGCCACTCCAAGCCAGACACACTGAGTTTTCTGCGTATGGATTCTCCCTCAGCTACAATTTCATCATGTCATGAGGGCTGTAATGTGTGAGACTGGGCAGAAGGCTATTCTGTATTATAACACATTTTGAAAGCACAGGTAACATTCAAATAAAATTAAAAAAACAAAACAAAACAAAACAAAAAACCCCAGCATCTCTGCTGGGTAATAGAAGGTCAGGACTGGCTAGACCACTGGTGCCAAACCTATGGAGTGTGGGCCACAGTGGCTGTTTGTTAGCACTGAAAGGTCTAGAAGGTTCGGCATCACCAGCTAGATCATGTGTTCTCCACCTCTCCAGTCATAAGACAAAAACAGATTTCTTTGGCTGAAGTCTTAAAAATGTAGAGACTATGCTCACATTGTATCCAAGCAGTTATTATTCAGTTAACTGTTTCAGCTTAGCTGATGCATGCCTTGCTGCACTCCGAGATGCTGCATGGACCTACTCCCTGGTCCCGCAGGAGACCCAAGAAGCTGAGTGTTCACATGACTCTAATGGATGAAAACTGAAAACCTGACAGAGGACTAGGAACCTTCTGTGCTTTTTCAATAAACAATAACATCTTCAGGGACTCCTTACAAAGAACATGTTGGTAGCTTTATATTTGCCAAGGGGGAAACTAATAGCCTGCAAAATCCCTCTTGTAATGGCAGAAAGGTATCAATTTTATATACTGACACTGGAAAATTAGAAACAGATTGCAATAATAATTACTGAGGTAATAACGTAGGCTTATTTTCTAAGAGTGAAGCAGTCCCAATGCCTGGGTATCTGGACACCAATGAAGATATAATGGTGAGAAGGTACTGTGAACAACCACACCAAGATGGTGCTTCCAGCCCCACATTTCAGAGGACAATTATAGAATCAGAAAGGTAAGCTGTTTGTCCAAGGTCATCAGCTAGAAAGAAGCGACCCAGAACCAGGATGCACCCTAGGAGGAGGCCAGCTGGCCGGCTTCTGGCCTGTGTGGAAGAGTGAAATGCGCAGGGCTCATTTGCCCTCAGCACACACAGGTACAAGGCCAGGCACTATGCTACACGCTACGGTGCGCAAGCATGGCGCCTGTGCACACGCACAGGGTAGGTTCTCAGAAAGGCTTGTTATTCCTCAGAAGACAAAAGACTTGAGCAGATGGGACACTTTCAGAAGTCCACCAGTGCATCTCTCACTGTGAACTGAAGGTTGGCTGTGCCATGTTGGGGGCTATCAAGCTGCTCTTACATGGAGCTTCACCTGGGTTTTGTGCCAACCTGGCTGAAAGCGGGACCCCAGATTGTAGCAAGCTCCCTAGGGGACAAGGATGGCCACCATGATGTTGGCACCTAGACTTGCAGAACAAAAAGACCACTCCTCAGAGACGCTCTAGCAAACTGAACAAGATGTCCATGTCTCCAGACTTCTGACACAACATGGGAAAATCATTTAGCAGCTTCTCATGAGCTAAGAACAATGATTTAAAAGTAAGATTGTTTGGAAGAGTGAACATGGATTTTCATAGAAAAATTACTCTTAAAATTTAAGTATTCTGAGCATTTATTAAACTTTTTAGTATAGTATGTGCACCTGTCATCCAAGATCTGAACATTTCTCTAAAGAGAATGCTCTACAAACTGGATCACAACTTCTCTTCCTGTGCTGTTCAGTGAGGTATTATCTGTTCTCACAAAAGTATAATCTTCAAGTTGAAGACCTGGACCTCTACGATAGAAGACAGATGTGGATAAAGTCTTCACCTTCGGCAAGACAGAGAGATGCCCTGCTTCCACGTCTTTCAAACAGAGAATGTAAATCTCTGTTTGAGCTCTTGCTATATCTGTTTGAGCTCTTTCTCAACAGCTCTTTGCTATGACACAGTTTTCTCAAATATTTATTCATTGATTATTATTATTATTATTGTCTTTTTGAGACAAGGTTTCGCTATGCAGTTCAGGCTGGCCTTGAACTCACTTTGTAACCCAGGCTGGCCTTGAACTTGCAGAGATCCTTCGTCCACACCCTCCCAAGTGCTGAGATTACAGGCAAGTGCCACCACACCCAGCTTCACAAAATTCTAATACATTCAGTCTTAGGTTTGTCTTAGTTCCCCTTTCGTGTAAGTTGCCTAATGTCATCACTAGTTTAAGACAGTCCTTAATGCTAATCAATTGTTTTAAAAAACTATGTAAAATTATGAATTATGTATTTATATATTACTATGCATAGCAATACAGCATAAAATCTAGAACATTTCTGAGGCATCATTTTAGCATGAGGATAATAT